GGAGTGTTGACTGCTACTGGGATCGTCTCCAGGTTGTAGATAGGATGACGGATACCTATGTCGTTTACCGTGAATAAGTATGCGCCAGATCACCAGTCAGTCGCCACTTCCAGGATCCCAAATATTGACTTTTCCCATCGTGAATTTCAGCTGATGTGTTGCTGAAACTCCGACTCCCTTTCTTTAATCATTACTTCTGTGTTCTGTATCGTTCATCCAATAGTGGCGACTCTCCATTCTTTGATTTTCTATCTTCGAACATTGAACATTTGTTTGCAACCGACCCCAACTGCAATGTTACCATCTTGGGAGATTTTAACGTTCACAATCAGTACTGGTTGACACATTTATCTTCTTCTCCTTTGGGGTGCGAAGCCGAACACTTTCCTTGGTCAACAACCTGAGTCAACTAGCTGACCTCCCCAAACGTGTCCCTGATCGAGCTGGCGACCGTGCCCACACCATCGATCTAATTCTCACTTCGGTCCCTTCTTCTCAGACATTCCTACCCTCCCTTCTTTTGGCTCATCAGATCCTTGTACTGTTTCTTGTTCTGTTATGTTTTCAAACCCCGAGCCACCACCCACTTCGAGACACATTCTGGCGCTACAACTCAGCCCACTGGGACGGTTTCCGTGATTTCCTAGCTGCTTATCCTTGGAATGATTGCTGTTTTTCTGTGGATGTTTCCAAATCTGTTTCCAACAACCCACATTGTTCTTCAAGGTATGCATCTTTTTATTCCGCACTTTTCCAAACACGGCAAACCCAAATCCACTGAGTGGTTTAGCTGCGCATGTGACCTTGCTGTACGCCTGAAATGTTCAGCCTTCCACCGCTGGCTCCGCTTACTCACCTCCCTCTCCCACCATCGCTTCGTGCAAGCTAGGAACAGATGCTCGATGACCATTTGTTTGCCGTAAAGCCAGAAACTTCGTCTCGTTCGCTACTGGTAGCCGAACATTTTGGTCCCTTGCCAAAGCAATTTCCCTTAATTCTGCCCTTCCAACTTGCCCCCTATCTGCAATTCCTCTCGTGATCTTGTATGTCAACCAAACGAGAAAGCTGAGGTTTTTGCTTCTCAGTTTGCCGCCAATTCCCCTTACCCTTACCTTGGGCGGTGGTGGCCAATTGGTTAGGTCGCCAACTAGTGACCTGGGTGTCCCCGGTTCAAACCGCTCCATCGCCGCCCGTTTTCCCTATATCTGTGCTTTCCCCAGGCAGCCTTTGTATGGCCGCAGCCCCCTTCCTGAAAGTTGACTGTACAATTGTATATTCGTCCGAATATACCATCCATACCCATTGTGAGAAAACACAAAGTAGCGACCAAGTTCGTTTGCAGTGATTCTTTTACAGGCTAGTACATCACAATTTATATCAAACTGTTTGGCAGGGCGGGAGAGATCAGTAAATAGAAAAGACAGTAAAAATACATCTGTTTTTGTTGTTTCTACACCTCCACCTTCTTCACTGGCAACCGTTTTATAGATAATATCAGCACTAGGAAAATCCGTCAAACACTGCGCTCTCTAAACGCAAACAAACCACCCTGTCCGGATCGTATTCCATCCATCGTCCTCAAAATATGTGCTCTCGAACGGGCTCCTGTTTTACGTCGTTTTTTTCAATCCTTCCCTCCAACTTTCTTTCTTTCCAACCCCCTGGAAGCACCGTGATTTTTCCCATTCCCAAACGCGGCGACCTTTGTAACCCTAACAATTACCGACCCGTTTCCCTCACATCTGTTCTTTCGAAAGTATTGGTAACTGTCATCTCTGACTAGCTACGCATCTTCCTTAAACGTGAAAGACTACTGGGCGACCGCCAGTATGGCTTTCGACCGCGTCGTTCCACCAGTGACCTGCTGGCTCTTGTCTCATAATCCTGGTCAGCTCCACTCGACAACCGTGGAGAAACACACTTGGTCTCGCTTGACATCTCAAAGGCCTTCGACCGAGTCTATTGGTGAAACTACCCATGTTCGGGTTCCCTCCAGCGCTCGTAGCGTGGACATCAAGTTTCCCCAGTAAGCGGACCATCTCCGTCCGAGTTGATGGGGTTCTGTCTCAGCCATTCCCTATGAACGCTGGTGTTCCCCAAGGTTCAGTACTTGCGCCCACCCTCTTCCTTCTATTTATCAATGATCTCCTTTCTCAAACTGTCAACCCGCTTCATTCTTTTGCTGATGATGCCATCCTCCACTGCTCCCTCTCCTACCGCACTGCTCACCATGCCCAAACCATCATCAATGGTGACCGTAGTGCAGTTAATGTGTCTCTGGACTCCGATCTCGAACACATCTCCTCCTGGGGCATCGCAAACCACGTTTCATTCAATAGTTCTAAAACCTCTCTCCTTTCAATTTCTTTAAACACTATTCATTCTCCCCTCATTCCACCCAACTACGTTCCACAGACCCTGTTTCCCTTCTTGGATTGCCTATAATTTCTTCTTTATGCTGGTCCCCTTTTATAACCCAGCTGGCTTCTCGTGCTGCTGTGTTGGATTTCTATTTCGCGCCAGACGCTTTCTCACCCCAGCTCATCTTCTGCTGTACAAAGCTCAGATCCGCCCTGCTCTTGAAAACTGTAGTCACGTGTGGGGTGGGGCTTCGTCTTCTTCTCTTTCCCTTCTTGCTTGTGTTCAACGAAAGGCCATCCGGCTAATCGATGATCCTTCCCTA